ATGAGTCTGACCTATATTTAACAATAAAGGAAACATACTATGTCGCTCTCTCTTGCTCATACATACAGGTGGTATCATCCAGGATACAGATTAAACCTTATTTACACGTTCTTATCATTATGAAAAGACAAAAAAATCGTGGCATTTTGTTTTCGTCAGTTGTTTGGTACAACATTTGCTACAATAAATTATTAATGCGTGTTCTAATATCATGACGATGAACGCAAAATAGAAATATTTATTATTCAATTTATTATTGAAACTCGGGTTTATAACTTAGTTTCTGTAGGACCTTTATTTAATTTCTTTTTGAGAAATCAATTTCTTTCGTAACAGTGCATATGTGGTTAAAATTTGTCGGATAAGTTGTGAAACACCCTGTATAGATAATATAAACATATATAAATATCAAATATGGCCATTTTAAAACTGTCGACATGTAGAGATTTTTCCCTATTTCAGACCAAATAATTACTAACAGGCCAAGTTAAAAATCAAGGTGAAATTAGGTCCTGGCTATTTTTGGACAAACAATTCGACATTAAATTATTTTTCAGATTGATGTAAGTAGGCTGTGTTTATTAGTTTCCCGAAGCTAGCAAGATGTGTATGAAATATTATACTACAATCCCACTTCGTATTCCATATATGCGGTAGCAAAAAGTTCCAAACAACAGGGACCATTCTCCCTTTTTAAATTGATATTTAATTTTGATAGTTCTGTGGTTTATACGCTATTAACTGTATGGTTTTTTAAAATCTCGTATTCAGCTTGTTCCAAGGAAAAAAGGGTAGGTTCTGAAACGTGTTATAGAGGATCACTTCAAAATTACTTTCTCTATTACACACTCCAAATATTGAGCCGATAGTATTGTGAAATATGACTATACTCCTTAGGCCTCTTCCAGTTTAAACTTGAGTAATATGACTGAAGGAACTAGCACCTATAGGCAAGAACGTTGCAAATTAAAAGTCCGAGAACCAAAAAATAGTAATCAAAGATCAGTAAAGGGAAGGGGGCAACCAAAAGAATTCTTATAACTTCGTAAACATATTGACTTGCTTTTTAACAATCTATGTCGCAATTAATTTTTGTTGGTCACTAGTAAGACAATTTTCACTTAGCAATATGCAAAAACAAGAACCTAACATTGAGGGCATACTTTAGGTTAATATTAGGTGAGCTATATCCTCTGGATTTTTTGTCAAGAATTCTTAAAGTTCTTCTTAGAGGTATGATTTTTGTGGTTCTGAATCAACCAATTTAACATCTTTGGTTAAAGGTCTATAAGGGCATTAATTTGGTACATAGTTACCAGCATTTCATAAAGAAAAAACAAAAAAAAACATCATTCAAGAATATAATTACTAAAATTTTACCAATATTGGTATTTATTTCTTGGTTGGTAGCCCATTTTAACAAAATGCTAGTTGAAGGCAGTATTGTAAATGGTACCGGAGGGACAGAATGAGATATTCAGCCACCAGAAATTGGTTTGTTTGTCAAGTGGCCCTACTATTCGTATTTAGTATACCTTAGCTAAAATTTATAGCCCGAAGAGTCCATCTAATTTATTAGTCCTGTTGCTATGTGCATCGAAAAACGGCGATTCGAAGACCATCGGTTATTGTATACATCTCAGGACTGAAATATATTACGGACGGACTCTTGCAAAGCTGGTTTTCACGCTGTGTTAATGTTATTTATAAAACCTAAAAGCATAACTGCGAAGAGCTTTCGCGAAATGAGTACCTAATTGTGTTTTGCTTTACTGCCGATGGTACCGTATTTATAGAGGAAGTCACCACATGGGTATACTTTCAATGATAATAACGATGAAAAAGTAACAGTATCATTATACCGCCTGAGTGGTTTCATACACTATTAAAGGATGCCTCAAAACTCATGCAAGATTTGAATTGAATAGAAAATATAGTTTCGTTTCTTTGAGGTATTTGCTTATTGAATCATACGATACACAAGAAAAGGTTAATAATGAGATTGATGCGTAAAAGTGGCAGTTGAAAATTTCAAGATGGCGGCTAGACGTCATCTCGGAAAACATTTAAGCGCAAAGGGGGTCATGTGATACCTCTTTCTGAAGCCCCTTGGGAAAACTGGAATACAAAAACACTATCACGCTTTCAAAATTGCTTCCTGGCAGGCAGTCAAAGTTGATCGCTTATCCAGAGTGTTAGGGAAATAATATTCGTAACTTCACGAGGTGATTCCTTGCATTTTTCTAAGCAAAAAAGTTCATTATAACTTATGTCCGAAAATCAATCGTTTTCGAGAAAAGTGAGTCGTAAATAATTAAATTTTCTCAAACGTTTGGCCATGCTGCCACGCGACTGCGATACGAGCGCACGACGACCGCAACTGCTTCAACGAATTGTGTACGGTTGTATGACATTTTTGTTGAAAACGTGTCTTGAATTATTGAATACTTTTGCGCATTTTTTTGTGGCTAATATTTTTTATTTATTAACGCTTTCAGTACAGTACACTTAGTTAAAAAAATGACAGAACTTACCGGTACGGGGCGATGCACACCACCAATTCCCAGCCACTTATTTGAAACGATACGATGCACGAAAAAAGAAAAACCAACATCCGTAAATCACATAAAGTTACAGTTAGGTGTTTTAGTAATCACAACAACACGCGATGATACATGCAGTGCAGGCGGAGTACGACGTTGCCAGTTATGTGAGTGACTTTGGTCGGTTTTTCTTCGGAAAATTGTATTAAATAAGCAAGAAAATTATTTTTTTAGAGACAGTTAACTATTAAATAGATGTATTGATACATTTTACGCGGTTAGGCATATGAATTTAAATCATTAAGGTGCAAAATTAATTTATTTCATGACTAAAAAGAAATAAATTCAACATTTTTTTGCTCCGAAACGGTTGATTTTTGGACATAGGTTATAATGAACTTTTTTGCTTAGAATAATGCATTAGAGTTACGAATATTATTTCCCTAACACCCTATATACATTGAATCGTTTGCAACTCAACAACTAATCATAAAACGTTGTAGTATGTCACATCAATCTCCTTTTTTAGGGATTTGTGACGGAATGTGCAATAAAATAAAGGAAATCCAATTTAAAAAAAAATGGCTGATTTTCACATTTTTTTGCAAATGAAATGTTTCTTTTGTTATTACAATTTGGATAGATTCCTTCAAGAGAAGAAGATTGATACAACATAGTATAGCGTTTAGATTATTGGTTGTTGGTTCATAAGCGAGATATTGTACAAAAAGGCTCAGCTTGCCATTTTGAAGGGAAGTGATTTTATCTTCTAGGGTTATAAGTACTCATAAGGAGCTTTAAAAATTGAGTTATCACATGACCCTCCATTCCATTTGAAAAAGCTCCGACATGACGACCAGCCACCATCTTGAAATTTCCAATTGCTTTACGCCAAAATATGGTATTCATGCATCAATTTCATTGCCCCAAATTTCAGCTTGGTAACTTCACCTGTTCAAAAAATAACTATAAGGAGAATTTTTTGAAAGGCAGTGTCACTTACCATTTTGCAAAAATCGTCATCCATAACACGAAGTGGCGTATCTGATTTTTCCCAATTTTACTAGAGAGCGTTTTAAATATTTTCACGAGATTTGAGTTGTTGCTGACAAAAAGGTATTATTGCTACGTAATTGAATTTGTAGGTACATCTGCTCATGTTTACATGCTTTTAAAAAATGATCAACGATTAATCCATTTTTCATTATATGTGTTCAAAATTCCCCAAAAAATTAGATACGTCATTTTGTGAAATTGAAGGGTCGTAATTTATAGAATAAAGCCCTAGTTACGCCCTTGTTCTAAGTCTAAAGTATCTAAAACTATTTAACTTCCTGTACAAGTTTAAATATGGCAGCACAAACAAAAGAGTCAAATAATAATGATATAATAACATGAATAAAATAATAATTAGTATTTCATCTATTACTCATGAGGAAGATTTAAGTCGAATCTTTGGTCTTCTTGTAAACGAACTACCGATATGCTATATCTCCTTCACACAGCGACTTCAAATCCATATATTTTTTTGTAGTATTTTTTTGGGCTCTGCACTTTTAACTTCGAGCGGAATATATTCTATATTAGTCTAAAAAAGCCGTATCGGTCCTAAAGGTGAAGTCAAAAAAAAGATACGTCAAAGTGCGTATAGTGATAAAATTAAAACTACAATTTTATGAACTGGGGTAACTTAGATAAGCCATATGCTGTAAAATGATATGTATATTTTATAACTTCACAAAATTGCCGCAAGTTGAGTTAAGCTCCCTCGTGAAATTTAATTTCCTATTAAAATGAGATAAATCTAATATTACTTTTCTATAACTTTGAAGGTATTAGAAACTGACTTATGCAACTTCGTGATTTTGAAGAGCAACCTTTGATGCCAAGCAATATTTATGATTATCAGGCAGCAGCGGTGGCCACAGTAGTAGACTCTTGGGTCTCCTGATCAGTCGCCGTGCGCTGTGCGGGTTCGAGTCCCGTCCCAGGAGAAATTTTTCTCTTGCCTATGGATGTTGTGATTGTCCGTAGGTGGTAGATGGTCTCTGACTGTCGAACGCGGAGGTCCCACCCGGCGGTTCTCGTAGGCGGAGCCAGAATGTGTGCATGTTGCATGCACACGTGTTCCCTCGCCAGAGTCCATGTGGCGTCCCCCCTTTCCCATGTATCCCCCATAGCCCCACGGTACCCAATGGGTGCTCAGGCCTTAGGCCTTCGTGGTAGTTGGAATATAAAAAAAAACCAAAGCCACAAAAGAAGACCAAACAAAAAAACTTCCCCTGGAGCCATTTTATCCAGTCAAAATTTATTAGTTATGATTACCTTATCTGCAGTTAGTTTCTTTGTAGGTGTCATTTTCATCTCAAAGTTGTCAAATTTGTCACTCGGTCCAACAGACCGAGGCGGCGTGGAAGTAGTATCATATGCGCCAACTCGGTCCATTTCTCGGTCCGCAGCGATTTTGCCCAATCGACATGTTTCTTCAAGTCACCACGTGGTGTCTATTGTCTTTCTAATTGCATTTTAGTACGTACACATTTTCAGACGGAATAGACGGTTATTGTTGTTATTTTTGAATGTAGTTTGTGTTTCTACAATGTCCAGAAATCGTGCTTTGACGCAGAAAGAATTAGAAGAAGAGATAGAGCGAATTATGCAAAATCCGTCAGATGAAGCATCAGCATTAGAGCATGACGGTAAGAAACATTCTTTATTTCGTAGATCGATCGCATAGACTTGTAAGTTTCCGATAATAGCTAGACTGAAAAAACGTACAATCCTTCATGCATTTATTATTTTTTTCAGGCGATAGTATCGCAGACAGCAACTACTAACCTACTGATGATGAATCATCTGGTAGTTCCGATACAAACTCTACTGACTTCCCCATGCTTGCGCAAACCGCAGACACCAATGACGATGAGTTATTCGTTACTTCTAGTACAAATTCTCCATTACCAGGAAGTAGTGCTGCCTCCGCGCCTATGCCAAACACAGACACAGATGACAATTTAGCTGGTAACGCCGGCGCCGCCTCGGATAATATGATATGGAGTATTCCAAAAGGTAGACAACCTGCTTTTGCGTGAAGAACCTCTGGAAATGTTTTATTTTTCACTAATTAATGACTCTATTTTTCAATACATTGCTGACCAAACGAATCTATATGCCACGCAAGTTATTACAGATGAAGCAGATGTAAAAGGTACATCTAGGTTACATAATTGGTACCCTACAGATAAAATGAAATCAAGAAAGTTTTTGGTTTGCTTTCGTAGATGAGTATTGTAAAAATGCCTAATATACAAGCCTATTGGAGCCGAGAAGCTATGTATAAAAACTTTATGGATTCTAAAGTAATGACACGTAATAGATTTGAGCTGTTGCTACGTATGTTGCATTTTGCAGATGGTCAAGATGATCTAGATAATGATAGACTGCATAAGATTCAACCTTTGATTGACAAAATAGTACATAATTTTAAAACATCATATGAACCTTCCGAGACTTGTTGCATTGATGAGTCCCTTATTCCATTTAGGGGAAGATTAATAATGCGACAGTAAGAAACAAGCGCCATAAGCATGGAATAAAAGTATTCAAATTGTGCAGCAAAGGAGGATATACCTATAACTTTAAAATTTATGCAGGAAAAAATTTAGACCAAGGTCATACTACACCCACATCTGTAGTTATGAGTCTTTTTGAGCCCATACTAGATTCAGGCCGCACTCTTGTAACAGACAACAGGTATACAAGTGTAGATTTGGCAAAAAGATTGATGGATAGGCAAATATATTTGATAGGCACATTGCGAAAAAACAGACGAGAGGCCTTCCGAAAGACCTGGTCAACAAAAAACTTAAATGTGGAGAGATAGCCGCTCCCGAAAATCAGGACGGTGTCACAGTAATTTCCTGGAATGATAAACGCAACGTTTTAGTGCTTTCTACCAAACATAGCAACATAACAGTAGACACGACAAACCTCAGATAAAAAACTGTAAATAAGCCCGAAGCCATTGTAGCATATAACGCAGGAAAGTCGTCGGTTGATGTCTCTGATCAGATGACAGCTTATCAGACACGTTTGCGTAGAACCTTTAAGTGGTACCGTAAGTTATCCGTAGATATTATCCTGAATACTGCAATAGTCAATGCATGGATTATGTATAAGGAAACTGTGAATGGCAGAATTTCCTTACTTCAGTTTCGAAAAGTTGTTACATACAAGTTATGTCAAGCGCAAGACGATGGGTTAGCAGAGCAACCAGATGCAGAGATGATTCCAAAAAGAAAACGCCAAAAGCACGAAATGGGCAAAAGTGATTATAAAAAACGAAGACCTTGCAGTAGATGATATGAAAAAGGATGGAAAGAAGCACGAAAACTCACTAGAGGACATTATTATTGTAAAGGTTGTAATGGTGGACCGTTTTTCTGCTTATTATGCTTTAATAAGTTCCATAGATATGAAACTCCTTAGATAGAAATAAGTTTTTTTCTTACGTTTTTCATATATTATTATGTAAGCTACTGGTTTTCGTTCTAGATTTTTGCAAAAATAAACGATTTATAAAGTAAGTTATTGTTGTTTCTCTAACCTACCATACCCAGAAATAAAATAACCAAAATATTAAACTTCAATCAATTTTCTACATAACCGATATGTGTCAACAATCCTCAGACGCCAACTCGGTCTACTACCAGCGTTAAACCAATGCAAAATTAAACAGCTGGCGGAAGAGGATTGAATATTCGGTCCCGGTCGAATCGGCCGCGTTGGCTAGGCTGGCAAAATTTCTTCTCGGTGTTATGGACCATGATGGCGAATGAGACAAACACAATTTTGGTCTTCTAGACCGAGTTGGCAGCGAACGTGTTAAGTAACAAAATCGACTTGACTCAATTTTCGTTTTTTCTGAAATACGCCACTTCGTGTTATTGGCGACGAATTGTAGCTGAATTTCCTTCTCCCTTCTTTCTGCCTAAATTGAATAAAATTTATGTCGATAAAACGTAGTGTTAACAAGACAAAGTCATATGCCTTACAGTTACATCCCGTGAAACAATTCAACTGTCATTTCATGTGTACTTTATAATTCAATAAGACCATTTGTCAAGATGAAAAAATTGTGTTTTCTATCCAATTCAAACCTTGCGTGAATTTTGAGATACCCTTTACCCAACTAACAATTATCACTCCTATTAGAGTTGCAAGAATGATTATACAGTATTCCTTAAACAGCGTTGTATACTGTAAGAACATTAGCAAAACCCTCTTAGAACAGCTATACAAGCGGAATGGGCACACCTAATAGGACACTTCAGTCATTTAAGAGGTTGTATAAGGGCTGCAGGTAACAGTTATAAAACAAAAGTGTAAGCCTCTTGCAGCCGCTATAGGACATTTGCGTCAGTGCAAGATTCAGTTTTTGTCAACTATACAACTATTCTCTTACGTGATTCTACTTTATTGCAACCAAACTATTTCCTATGTATTGTATAGACGAACTGAAGAATATATAACTAACACATTACAGTTATCTTGTTTACTTACATATCGGCCATTGTGAATTTCATACACAGGTATATGATAAACTTCTACACCTTGATATAGGGCTATTGAATTACTTGCGCAGCAAATTTTATTGTGATTATAATGCAAATTAGTTACCCAATTTCTACGGGCTTCGTATTTGATTCATATTTTGACAATGATCAAAGGTATGTCTAGATTTTTAAGATGGAAAACTGAACTTATCTGCGTTAAATCTTCCACAAATCCTATATTTAGACACAGTTACACTAATGTTTATCACTTTATATCTGTAATTTCGAACTGAAACATAATTATTTAATATTAAATATTTTGGTGTTGCCTGCAGGTGTTATACAACAATTTGACAAATGTCTGAAATGAAATACCGACAGAGTCGAATGATTTACCCAGAATTAGTACCAGATCTATATCTTCTGTTTGAACGGTTGATAAAACCTTTTGAACCGATATGCATGCGTTGTTTGTCTTAAAACATTGGTTATTATGGCATTTTAACAAAAATATGACAGCTGAAAGTTAGGTTATGGTGAAGTTGTTTACCAACATATTTAGCATATATAACAGTTGTATAAGTGCTTCCGTTGGGAGCAATTTGTGGGCTAATGTAGTAAATTGCACAGCAAAGCAACAAGGCTCGGGTTTGTTTTATAAACGTTAGCATGGGTGCCACAACACAACCATTTTGACTAACTTGCAAATATGCCGTATAAAATAGTTGTATAAACGTTTATGCAACAGTAAAACATTTGCCCTATAAGGTGTTGCATAACTATGCTATAAGAATATTTTAAACACCTCATTTTAGAGCAAATATGTTGCAGAAAGCAAATTTGCATTCCACACAACATTAAGCAAGCATTTTGGTGTTCAGGCAACAACAATAGACAGCTTTTATGGCTGAGCGGTTCTTTTACCAAAAGCTTATACCACTACTTTGCTAGTTGGGTACTATGAAGATTTACATCTACTGAGGTCATATGAGAAAAAAAAATTTTCGGATCCATCTGGCATACGTAGAATTCAGTTGAAAGGTTTGTACATGGAATAAGGTAGCAATAAGGTTGAATGTAAGTAGAAATTACATACGAAACGCCAGTACAATCGATGATAAAATGTTATTTCCCTCTGAGTTGTCAGATATTGAAGGATTTTATTTTTACAGTTAAAATATTGTTGTTTGTTAATAATGCTTACGAGCAGAAACAGCTGATTGCCAATAAATCAATTGCTCCTTCAAGCTAATTTCTTTTCGCTCGAAGGCGAACAAGTCACCAAACAGCTTTATTAGCAAACATTTTCAGCGTCTTATATGCCTTTTGTAATAAATTATCACGCATCATAGTTTTGAATGGAAATTAATATTGTCAGGATTAGTCAGAGTCTTGAGGAGTGCTAGATCATTGACAGCCCATGATTCTGCTTCAAAAGACTTTGGGGCTTCCCTAACCCCCCCACACCACTGGCGAGGACGTATTGTAATCGCGCAAAGTTTGGACTTAACTTAAAACGAAGGTGCATATACGAGGGATGTATTTTAAGTTTTGCATATAGAAACATAGTAGGCCGCGCGGATCTAACGTCAGTACTGTATCTTAACCTCAGTCTTTAGTAAACTTAAAGTCTAAGTTTCACAATAATACGTGCAGTGTTCTCACTACAGTGAATTTTTAAGTGTCTCCAAGTCATTAGAAAAATGGAACTCAACCGAGAACATTTTCGCGCCATAATTTATTAAAACTTTCAGAGACAATTATCGCAACAAGAATGCCTTGCTGAGTTACTGTCTGTTTTCGGCAACGAAGCGCCACATCAGTCGACAATTTCCCGTTGGTATGGAGAATTCAAACGTGGACGGGTGAGTCTTAGCGACGATCCCAGGGTGGGTGCACCAAAAACGGAAGTCACCCAGGAAAACTTCGATGCTGTGCGCAAACTCATCATTGAAGATAGACATGTGACATATCGCGAGATTCAGGCGTCCTTGAAGATCTCAAAGACCTCAATTCAAAAAATTTTACATGAAGAATTAGGAGAAAGAAAATTAGTTTCTCGTTGGATACCCCACCTGTTGACTGAAAAGCAGAAAGCAGCGAGGGTTAATTGGTGTCAAAAAACGCTTGACCGTTTCAATTCCGGAAACTCAAAAAGTGTGTACAGGATTGTTAGTGGTGCTGAATCATGGATTTACTGTTATGAACCACAAAATGAACGACAGTCGGCTGTTTGGGTGTTCCAAGGTGAAGAAAAGCCAACAAAAGTCATCCGTTCTGGAAGTGTTTCGAAAAAGATGGTCGCGACATTTGTGTCAAAAGCGGGTCATATTGCAACAATTCCTCTTAATGAGCAAATAACTGTTACTGCGGATTGGTGTACCACCATTTGTTTGCCAAAAGTCGCCACCGAGCTTCGAAAAATCAATCCCGATGAAGAATCATCCTCCACCAAGACAACGCAGGCTCGCACACAGCCCAGCAGTATTTAACGGAAGAAAAC